ACGCGATTCTGCTTCTTCGACGACCATCGAGAGAAGCGGTCACACTCGATGTCTTCTGATCGTTTCCGACTGGAAGACGTGTGTTCGACTATGACCGTCGGCAAGCTCACGGAGCACGTCGCACGATGGCTCCGGACAGCAGCTCCGCCTGGTGCAGCGGAGATAGCGAACTCTAAGACCGTGCGTCTTGCCGTGCTCAGAGACTCCATGCCTGCGTGCAGCCACCTTCAGGATTTCGCGGTGTCCGAGAGCGTGCGCTACAGGTGCCGCGATGGCGTGCCTCGAAACGCAACCATCGTAGCCAAGCACCGACCGTGGGACAACTTGCCATACTACACGATCCGCATCGACGACTACAGCACGACCGTTTCCAAGTCAACTCTTTCCATGCATCGCCCTCGCCCGCCACTGCCGGCCAACTCGACGATATGTCGCGACGAGCCAGCTGCTGCTGATGCGGCGACGGACGATGGAGTGCCAAGCACACCGCAAGTCGTGCAGCTGAACAAAGGTGACAATGTATGGTTCGTTTCCACCGCGACGGCGGCCCCTCGTCGAGCCCGAATCGACAACGTAGATGACATCAATTCGACGTGCATCATTACCATCGAAGGCGACGAGCGAAACGTATCAGCTCTCAACCTGGCACCGCCAGAGGAGCAGTCTGATGCGACAAATACGACGCCTGGCCCCTCGTGGACCGGCGCGGAGATCGAGCAGCTGCTCGACAACTCCGAGCAGACAGTCGGCGAGCTCGACCTGTACAACCGCTCACCGCGTCTCATCGTCGTCTCGAGTGACGTCGACCAGTACTGGGAGCGATGGTCAGCCATGCCCCCCGTGTCATGCCCACACACCCGCATCTGGTATACTCAGTGTGTGCACAACTCGTAGGCGTCAGGTCAAAGATCCGGCGCACAACCCTCGAGCGCGAGCCCCCGAGCACTTGCAACTCGTCAACAACCTGATCTCGTCAAATCACTCGGAGCACGCCGACGAGACGCATCTGAAGTCTTCCACCGCGCAGTCCGCAAGAGTGAAGAGACACGCAGGTCGCAGCTCGCACGCAGGGACAGGACTCAGGAGCGGCACCGCCGGATCCATGGCGCCTGTGCGCTGCTTTTCTCTCAAATCTCTGGGTAGCACTGTAGACCCGAGTGGAGTCTTTCAAATCTTTAAGCTCTCAATCTCTAAAAAAGACTAGAGATTTCCATTACCCTCGGACTGCGTGCCGTCCGTCCGTGAGCTCCTTGGGGTGCACTGGAGAAGAGCATGCGTAGAGCGTAGTACTATATACGTGTTGCATTGTAAAAAGTTTCGGGACACAAACGGACAAATGCCATACGTTGCTGCCGGCCGCTACTGTTGCACTGTTGCACACTGGGATGGGGTCGGATTCCGCATGCACGGGACCCCTCGATCGTCTCGCTAACTCTCATTCATTCTTCATTCCTGTTGGCTAGTTCCATTTCACTGTGGCACAGCTCGCGTTACAAACCTTGATTTTGACCATTTGCGCCATTTTGTCCCTCTCGGTGCCTTCCAGAGGAAGCT